AACTGCATACATTTCTACTAGGGTTCTCCTTATTTCTGAAAATTATTTACCGTTATCACGCTCGTTGCAACTAAACGAGCTTCACATTGTTCTGAAAATCGTCCACTGTTATGTCAGACGCGCTCATTATGCAATTCCGCGCGAACGCTCGCCGATTTCGATTCAGGAGCGCAGGCGGGGAGTTAGCGGTGTTATGCGATTGTTATGCGAATTATATGCACTATATCGGCCGATATCGCACCTGGCAACAGATAGGGAGTTGTTTATTGACCGATGTTAATCGCAGCGTATCTTAATTTGTGCAGCATAGACGATACTAAGTGCACTTATTCCATCCGATTATTATACTATAATGTATACAATAATGATTTGTCCAATTCGTTTCTGTATCAGTGGATCAATTATCTCTCCTATCAGCGATCGAGATGCAACAAAAATGTAAAGTTCAAGAAATTTTACATTTTTAAAAAGGATGATTTTATTGAAGTATCTAAAAATTTAAATAGACGGAGATCTGAAAATAATTTTATTGGACTATTAAAATAATTATGTAAGAAATTAAAGCATTTTGATAAGCAATGTTGCAAAAAATTTCATCTTAGCAACTTGATCGTTCTGCATAATTATTTTGATGGTCCAACAAATTATTTTCAGATCTGATAAATAAATTGTTAAATACTTGAGCAAATTTCCTATATAATTATTTTGATGGCCCAACAAAATTTACTTTAAGATCAGTATCTAAATTGTTAGATACTTCAACAAAACGATTCTTTCCGTGTAATATTGTAAAAGTCTCTATCTTTCAAAATCAGTTAATGTCTTTTAATCAGTTCTCCTTTTTTAGACAGATACAGAGCTGAAAATAATTATTGAACTATTAAAATAATTATGTAGGAAACAAGCTTTTTAATTAACAATATTGCAAAAAATTTCGACATTATAGCAATATTTATATTTAATTCTGCATAGTTATTTTGATGGCTCAAAATTATTTTCAGATATGTATGTATGAATTTAAATTTTTTAACATACTTCAGTGGAAGTGTTCTTTTTATGAAAAAAACTGACTCGTCTCGACAGTGCGAGAAAGCGTTTTTATATTTGTACATATCTGCATAAGAATCTTTTAGTCCTCTGGAATCCAATTTCGAGCGGGGAGACTTAATGAAAATCTTTTATGTACCTCATGATTGCGCTCTCAGTTCGCAATTAATCTTCATTTTTCGATCAATTGTGATTGTTGAAATTAATGACGATTTTTCATTCTATGTCGCAAAGTAGTAGACTGAAACTTCTGTTCATTTTCAATGTTCCGTATCTTCAGTGTCAGTGTGTTCCTTCATGCATTCTATCATATATGTTTCATCTATGGTTCTCGACTTCTTAGAATTTCAGGATCTCGATGTAGCTCGTAAAGTTCTAAAATACTTTGTATGAAAAAGTCATTACTTAACAGTTTAAAATTTTTAATTTTTGTTATACAAAAATTTTTGTTATACAAAAATAGTGGAAAATTGTTATTCTTTTTTTCTTTTTTTATTTCAAATTTTATTTTATTTTATATTTTTTAAATCAAGATTGACTTGAGAATTACTCAGGAAGATGTCAGAGTGGAATTAAATTGAAACATAGCTTCGGAGGAGCTTTTGGATCTAATTGTTTTTTTTTACATTTAATTGTGTTTTAAATGTTGTGTTTTAAATTAAATGTTGTGATTGGTTTTTTTAAAGCACATTTATTTAGTTCAGACGTTTACATCCAATTTCTTCGCTTCCAGATAAGTTACGGATAACCTTATCCAGGAAATATCTCCATTGTAATCTGGGAGATATCTCTTTAATAAGATTATCTAAAAGTGAAGAAATTGGGCATTAGTTCGCTTCTTTTTGAGGAAGAAGCCGGAGTCTCTTCAATTATATTAATATTCTAAAAGTGGGGTGCTAAGTTGTCGGTAATAGCGTTCGGGATCGTGTCGCGTCGCGTCGCGTCGGCGCGCAGCGGAACGGAGAGCCACGGACGTATAGGCAGGAAGGTAGGACAGAGGAGGAGATAAAACGAGATAAAACGAGATTGAGAGGCCCAAGGCCGTCGTTGTCGGCCGTTTCCGCCGGCGCTCGGCGTCTAAAATTGCGATGGCGTGGCTCCGCGGCCTTCGCGAACGCGGCAGCTTCTCACTCTCTCGCAGAAAAGTCAAGTTCAAGGCCGGCGTGGCATATCTCTCTCTCTCTCTCTCTCTCTCTCGCTCTCGCTCTCTTTCTCTCTCTTTTTCTCAGTCCCTCTTGTCTTTCTCATGTCCCTCTTTCGAACTCTCAATCGAACGTGGCTCAAACGAGGAGGAAGGAGAAACACTTACGCAACCCTTTCCTCCGTATATGCAACCTGTCCCGCTAGAATATATTGGAACAAACGTAGGACCGGTTGCACTGATGTTCCGCACTAAATAAATTTGCTTTAATCTCCATCAGCGACCCTCTTTAGATTTATGCCCGCGATGTGCATGTAGAAGGGAAGTGGCTTCGAGATCATTGTCTCGGCACTCTTGGCATATTGATGTTACGATGCAAGCTCTGTTTGTAAAAAAAAAAAAAAAAGAGTAACGGACATAGGTAGCGTTCACCGAGTTTTCTGCTATTCTAAGTTCCGCGACGTTTATTCCATCTCGGTTTCAAGGTCCGCTTTGACGATCAGTCACAATTGAATCCATAAGAACGCGAAATGAAATCATAATTGGCTTTTTTTTGTATGCAAAACGCTTCGAGGAAAATTTCCGGTGAAGTTTTGTGATGATGATTCGAATACGAATCCGATGTTGATATGCCATATTGGGGTTTGCCGAATAGAAGGGTGTGTGAGTTTGCATCTGAAAAAAAATCAAGTTGAAGGCCGACTAGATGCTGCACCTCGCTCCCTTCCCTTCTGCGAGTCTCGCTTTCTGCTGGCACACGACACATGATGCCGAACAGGATGGAAGGAGAGAAAGAGGACTTACGCAATCCTTTCACCGTTACTTTGTTCACCAGCGACCTAATCCAGGGCGCAGTTGTCTTGTATTCAGCCTTGCCATAATATTATTTTATTACATCAACTGTTAAATTGTACTTTTTTTTATACATGTTTTTGCTTCTTACTCTCTAAATCTAAATCAGTGGATAATCATTTATATCAGTGTCAAGTATACCACTGATATAAATGGTAATCAGTGAATGAAATGTGAGATCCTTAACCTATCTAATCTTTATTATGTAATCTAACTAACTTTGTTTTAGTGCATAAATTCAGTGAATGTAGTATTAGAAGATTGAAATTAATATTAATGCAAATATCAGTATTTTAATGAATCGCTCAATTATTTGACACAGCAAATCAATATAAACGAGCAATAAAAAGTTATTAGATTAACGATAAATTAATCAGTATTTTAATTATGTAATACTCCAACATTCTTCCTTTTTCAGTTGAATTTCACTAATTGTCTAATGTCAAGTATGCCACTGGGTAATTAGTGACTATCCATTAATTCAGATTTAGAAAGTATATACATTTTAATTCTCAATCTGTTGGCGAAAAATTAATTTTTAACAACTTCTTTTTCTTCTCTAAATATTCCAAATTGGATGCTAAGAATTTTCTTATAAATTTCTACACGCCGTTAGGAATCAAAATATATATTGAAGATTGAAATTTGATTTATGAGGACAAAGAATTTTAGCTCCTTTTATCTCTCTCTTTCTCTCTCTCTCTCTCTCTCTCTCTCTCTCTCTCTCTCGGTCAAATTTTCAATCTTTCAATCTTCAATCTTTTTCTTCTCTAAATATTTCACAGGGGATGCTAAGAATTTTTTAATAAATTTTTACGCTGTTAGATTGAAATCAGAATCACGCGAAGATTGAAGATTGAGATTGAAGATTGAAGATTGAAATTTGACCTATGAAGACAAAGAAGCTCCTTTTGTTTTAATTGGTCAAATTTCAATCTTTCAATCTTTCAATCTTCGATACGTAGTCTGATACTGGCCTTATCCGTTTCAAATTCAAAGTATCTTTTATCATATTTTAAATAATTCGTATTAATTCCAAGTTATTTCGTATCTAGCGTTGAATAATGTCTCTCTCTCTCTCTCTCTTATTTAATTATATTACAACTATTAGAAGAATATATATTTTTCTACACATAGTTTTTTTATATACTTCAACTCGACTTTTTTCTGCGAAAAATTTATTTTTTAATTTTTTTTTCTCGTCTAAATATTTTATTGAAAGCTAAGAATTTCTTTACCATTCTCTGTATATACACTGTTCGTTTCGAAATGCTTTATCATGTTTTTTATTAATCACATGTATATTAATACTGATGATTAGCAATTTCTATTTCAAGTGTATTCGAATTTTATTTACGATTTCTATTTTGGATTTTAAATACTAGGGTATCTATGTATGTATACAGAAATTGATACTTAAACATTTTCAACATATAAACAAAGACAGAAACTAATTTATGTTTTGAACCGAAGTTTCATCGAAGTCTTAAACAACGACTAGAATTACTGTCGAGTTGGCAACCATGTATACCTCAGGTAATCGTATCCCATGCTCGTGCAAGATAGAGTTTACACGCGATTCGTAACGATAGTGGTTCTCAGTTTTTGCACGAATCCGATTTGCGTGTACTCGATTGCATGTAGAATCTCCACCGAGGGTGGTCCAAGGGTGAGGAGAGCGTGATCGTCGAGGATATTGGATGGCGGTACCACGAATTCTCTGAAGTCAATTCTAAAAATGCTCGAGGCGTTGGCCATGCTTAAATATAGCAGACGCAAAAAAGAAGTGCAGCTTTGACTGCAGAGAGAAGGCGACGGGTGATATTTCGTATATTCTCGCGCTAAGAATCGCTTTTGCTATCGTTATAACAATAAGAGTATCCGCGATGGCTAGCGACGTGGCTAGCGACGTGTGTGCTATTTCGGAAACTATACGTTTCTTTTCCTTGTACTCCGACAGGTCTGCATGATGTCTGACGCTACCATGGAAAGCGTGATTGGGAATAACAGGACAATGCCGAACATCAAGCAGGAAATCGATAACCCAACAACGCCTACGCAAAATTATCAAGTGTGTTCGCCAACCACGACTCTTCAGCATCAGGAGGTATATTGTTCAAGAATTTCTCAGTTGCACTTATTTATGATTATGTTATTAAGAATATATTGCACATTGTGTTAATTATTACTTCAATTATATTTCTTCGCATATTCTTTCACATATATATCTTCTTATTTTTGTTTATGTTTCTTCACATTATATTGTGTCAATTATTATTTTGATATTTCTTCTCACCTTTTTTTTCATCATATTTCTTCATATTGTGTATTGTTAATTATTACTTTAATTATATTTATTTGTATATTTCTTCGCATAGTTCTTCTTTAATACATGTTTTATATATATAAGGCGTGCCAAGGCAAAAATGTTATAAATGCCATTTTTTAGGAGAACGGAATAACTTTTTTCTTGAAAACTCGCTTAAAAAATTCTATAAACGATAATAATTAAAGGTGTATGTAATAGAACAATCTTTACAACAATTTCTAATTAAATAATTCTAATTAAAAAAAGTCGTATTAAAATTTCAAAATAAAAATGCCTGTTATACATTGGACAATGTTTTGAGTTGCACTATTTATTTTTTTGTTTGTAATAGCTTTCCATCATGCCAAATGTTTACGTGAGAGAACGTCACTACAAACATTCATACAATAAAACGCATTCTCATGATTTTGGCACTTACACTAATTTTACCGTGGCTCACACACACACACGCACACCCACACACACACACACGCACGCACACGCACGCACGCACGCACGTTTGATAAATAATGGTTAAACTCTCGCATAGAGGTAGAGCGGACTAAACTGAGTCGAAAAATCCTCTACCATTTTGCAATTTACGCAATTATATATAGATATTAATTATTAAAAATCACTGAATATTATTTAGTTTTCAATAATTTTGTACTCAGACTATCAACTTTACAGAAAAACAGTAAAAGACAAAATTGTTTATTTTTTTCTCATAGAGTTCTAAGAATTTTTTCAGAATTTTTTATCAGCTTTTTAGTATTGCATTTTTTTATATTAACAACTCTTTTTACCAACATGAGAAAATACGGTAATAAAAAATTCTGAAAAAAATTCTCGGAGCTCTATGAGAAGAAAATAAATAATTTTTGTCAATTGTTTTTTGTAAAGTTGATAGTAGTACTTGAGCACTAAAAAATTATTGAAAACCAATATGCGGCGATTTTTTAGTAATTAATATCTTGTTAATTATTGTGAAAATTGTAAAATGGTAGAGGACTTTTCGACTCAATTTAGTCCACTCTATCCCTATACGAGTTTTACTTATCAAACCTGTACATATATTTCTTCACATACACATTAACCTTTATCATATTTTAACCTTTATCATATTTCTTTCCGTTGTCTTTATGTTAATCATTATTTTAACCATATATTTTCAGTCAATATGCACGAAATTAGACATTACGGATTACGGCGACAGCAACGGTAATCCCGAGAGTCCGGAGATGCATCATTGTTCTTCGACAACGCAGCCGTTGGGAACTCCAGAGGTGCGTGATCGCATCGCGATAATATTTCTCCGGGTAACGAGTTTATATTAGGGATGATTTATATTTGAACTGTTTTTGAAGAATTGTCGTTTTTGTAGGACGGCATGAAGGAAGAAGATCTGTTGCCCAGGAGACTTTGCCTTGTCTGCGGTGACGTTGCGAGTGGTTTCCATTACGGGGTTGCCTCGTGTGAGGCATGCAAGGCTTTCTTCAAGAGAACTATACAAGGTAAGCGGGCTTATCGATTTCCGTACCAGGTCGCAATAATTCGTCCAGATAGCACCAAGGACTACGTTAATGTGTATTTTCGATCGTATAGTATTTGCATAAGTGTGTGTGTGTGTGTGTGTACACGCGCGCACACACACACACACACACACACACACACACACACACACACACACACACACAAACGATCTATTACTATATTTCAGACTATATATTTGGATGCAAGTGGCCCTTTGTAATTGTAGGTTGGAGACAGTTGGTGCTATCTGGGATAACAGATCGTGTATATTACGATAAAATAGCTAGTAATTTTACAGGAAATATCGAGTATACTTGTCCAGCGAACAGCGAGTGCGAGATAAACAAACGAAGACGTAAGGCGTGCCAGGCGTGTAGATTTCAGAAATGTTTGCGGCAAGGAATGCTGAAGGAAGGTGTGAGATTGGATCGTGTTCGGGGCGGTCGACAAAAGTACAGAAGATCCACGGATCCTTATACTCCGATCAAGAATGCCACACTAGAGGGTACTTGATATCAATATAATTTCATATCTCATATCTATTTTATCATGTAACGGAAAAAGACATCTATTAGAAATAATAATTCCCTCTCTCAAAAGACCATTTCTATCATTAACTTTATTCTTCATTACTCAATGTTTCACGTTTCAAGCTAACGTAGCCGACGTAGTGTCGGCAGGTTCTACTGAAACGATAAGTAAGCTATTAAATATAATTGTTACCGTGTATTCCTGTGCGATTATATGTGATTTGCTTTATTGATCTTTTAATTTTATTTTGATTTTATGATTTATTTATCACATCTCATTGTTTCTTTAATGCTTGTAAACTTTCTTTATTTATAGCATTAAATAATTTAATAATATTTTATCGCTTTATCTTATGACAATATAAACAAAGAGACACATCGTGTCTCGACTTTTGCAGACAACAAGTTGGTCGAAGCCTTAGCAGCCTGCGAACCGGACATACTTCAAGTGACCAATGCCCCGAGTACACAAGAGGCGGATCAGAGAACTCTCGCACAGCTATCCGATCTCTATGACCGAGAATTAGTCAGCATAATCGGTAATCATTACGCGTAGCTGTATGTTGACAATTAGTTATGGTTGAAATTTTCCTTTATTTAGTGAATGTTTAATCCGTTTTCGTGCAGGTTGGGCCAAGCAGATTCCAGGGTTCACCAATTTAGCGTTGAACGATCAAATGCGGCTTCTGCAAACTACTTGGGCTGAGGTATTAACTTTTACCCTAGCATGGAGAAGTACGCCTAACAATGGCAGATTGAGGTTTGCGCAAGATTTTACATTGGACGAACGACTCGCGCGTGAATGCCATTGTACGGAACTCTATACGCACGTAAGTAATTTTCTGTAAAAGTTTATCTACAATTATATATTTTAGTATTATTATTATTAATAATACTAAATTTTTAAATACTATTAAATAGAAAAATAAATTTATTTATTATGTTCAAGATAACTTAATAAGATAATAAAGAAAGATTACATGTTATATACTATTGAAAGTCACATCTCTCATATTCATCTTTCACAAATATACATTTAAAATCGCTTAGAAAAAATTTTTCAATAACGAAATAGAGAGTTAACGTTAAATTGCTTTATTGTAATTCGCCAGTGTATAGATTCTTATTGTATTGTGTTTCTTTTTGAACAGTGTATGCAAATCGTCGAGAGAATCCAGCGGTTAGGTTTAACAAGAGAAGAATACTATGTGCTGAAAGCATTGATCCTAGCGAATAGTGACGCTAGGTCTGACGAACCTCAGGCGCTGTACCGTTTCCGAGATTCGATATTGAATTCCTTGTCGGATTGTGTGGCGGCGGTGAGACCGGGTCAAGCACTCCGAGCCACGCAAAACATGCTACTAGTACTGCCCAGTCTCAGACAAGCCGATGGAGTCATTAGACGTTTTTGGTCCAATGTGTATAGAATAGGCAAAGTACCAATGAACAAGCTTTTCGAAGAGATGTTGGAGAACGTTTGTTATCGATGAGATACACTTGATCATCTCAAATTTGATAACTCGATCGCCCATTATCAGGATCATACCGTTTTTTATTGTAAGCTGATGATGTTCACTATCATCGTGATTGTATATTATTGTACATCATTATTTCGGGCACGTTTTTCGATGTGTCGTTACGTTATCAAAGACACCAGTGAGTGTTAGTGCGTGGGAGAAATGGAGTTATCGATCTTTTTTATTTTCTAATGAACTCGTGAATTTTTATTCTTTTTTTCTTTCTTTTTGCGTGCAAGAAGGACGTTGAAAGTGTAAGTTCGGACAGTTTCTCCATCGTTCGTTGTGATTCACAAATCGTTCTAAATGGCAGACATGTGTAGTCTTCGTTCGAAGTATCTAAACTTTCCTTGTCGAGTACCCCATTTACAGGTACAGGAAGAGAATATGAAAGAAATATAAAAGAAGGAAAGAAAGAAAAAAAGAAGGAAAAATGTAATTTTTATGTTGGAACATAACAGTACAAGATGCGAGAAGACTTTCAGAGTACTCATTTTAGGATAGGTGTATGTGGAAGCCAATCGATGGCTTTATTACCAAATAAAGTGTTTCCGTTCGATCATCATGATCGTAACACTGAATATAGTAATTATAAGATAAGATGTAATAACTGTGGGTGTTTAACATCGTAGCCATGATATCATTGATATTAAGAATCAGCAATCAAAATTACTGTTGTTGAATGGCATTTTCTCTATTCTCTTAATCATTGTTTATTTTTATATTTTTTTTTGTTTTATTCACTGTGTATCTTAACAAGAGCGATTGAGATCATCTCCCGTGCGTTACATAAATATATATGTAAACATATTGCCTCTTTTGCATTAACCCTTGTAATTATAATAGCTTAAATGTGAAAAGAAATCGAATCATGTTAATCGATCTATTTGTGATAGCTGTATTGAACATCCATAGTTATAGCGATGTAGAGAAAGATATCTTTGTATATTATCTTAGAATATATCTTTGTACAATATAAACGAGAGATCAAGTTAAAATAGGTGCAAGAAGGCGAACGGAAGAAAGATAGCGGGTAGAATGTCTAAATTGTTTCTCAATTGGAGACATGCTGTTTCTACGCAGAAAATTGGGATTTTGTATTTGAAATATATTTTAAGAATTATCGGCTAGATAATTGCCATATTATCATGCTTTTGTTGGCGATAGAAGTATTTATCCGGTTGTTAAAACGATCGTGTTATGTTATGCTCGTGCCACATAAGAGAAGAAACAGAAAAATATATTATTGCTAATATATAATTATTAATATTATTTTTATAACACATTACGATCACTATTATTACAATTAATATTATTATTACCATTATTATATTCAGGGATCTTTATTATCTAGTTGTCACTAATTATTATCATGGTTACGAAAATCAGCGAGCATAATATTATCGACACATTTATGCGCGATATACATGCCTTTCACGATAAGAAATTTTTTAAGAAAACGAGAGATATATAGAAAAAGAGTAAGTTTCATGGAGCTTCGTTTGACGATTATCAGTTGCGAGTCTACAGCGATTTTTGTCAATTTCATTTATGATCACTTCAGTTATATAGAAGAAGATTATCTAGTTTCTTAGAATTAAGAGCTAGAGTTAATAGTAAGTCATTTAAGAAGAACAATAGATTCAAGTTTAATTCTTTCTCATTTCTTATTTTTTATTTATTTGTAACTTTTTAATTAGAAAATTATTTTCTCAAGATCAAAATGGCAAAAACCGTATGTGGACCTCGTACTTACATCGTGGAATTATCATCGTGGGTCTAGAGTGCAATAAAGTTAGGACATGCAGTTCACTTTCCTTAATAACAAAATAATATCTTTTCGCTGTCCCTTAATTGTTCCTTATTTTCTGCTCATAGGCTACTAGAGCGTTTTTTTCCTTATTTTTTCTGCATTTAAATCTGTGAAAAATAATTTGCGGTTCAATCTGGCACTCGTTATTCTTTTTCACGTTTCTCTAGTAATTTATCACTATTTTCTTGAGTAACTAACATAAAAAAGAAAAAAAACAGAAACTGTTGCAGTCATATTGAATTTTTTTTCTATTGAGACATTCGCGCCCGATTTTATTTTTTAATAAATTATTTTGTTTTTTTGAAAATGATAAAAGTTGAAAAGTTATTATTTGGGAAATATAAAGACGTGGAAAAACACACTTTTAAAATGACTGATGATATTTAGAATTTTATTATATTTTTGTAGCAGTGTTGCATTACTATTATAAATATACTGCAATGTTGCTATAAAATATTTCTGCAATTCTAACCTTCTTGCAGTGACATTGACTGTAATGTTTGTATTGTATGAAAATTAATGAAATCCAAAAATATTTTACAAAAGGCAACTTTAGTCTCAGCAAAGGATAGTATTAAAGTGCAGAAAAAAATGTTTCATATATAATCATATAATTTTATAAAAAAAATATGTTCATATAACATTTTTTTCTGGATGAACATTTAATACTAATGTTTTGTTGGACAGTCCTGAAAACATTGAATGTTTTTTTTGTTTGTTACTTGTACATAGTTGTCCGAGTAATGTTTGTTTTCCTTTTCTCGTTTGAAAATATGATACATAAACCACAAAATATTCCAGCAATTATTGCTGGAAATTCTATGCTTTATGAGCAACAGAGTTTAGATCAGTTTTTGTAAAAAAATTGCAGAAATGAAGTTTTACTTTGCGGAGAATTTCGCAGTGTTGTGTACATCAACGTATTTGTCGTTTGACTAAAGCTCGTTAAGACTAAAAAAAAGACTTTTTCCTCAATGACATCTCCGTGTATCGCGATACCGATGTTTTCTTTTGTCTTTTGTTGAGGCTAACGAGCTTTCCTGTTTAACTGTGATATTCGCATTACTGGGCGCATTACATTGCATATTCCACTGTCGCTGAAGTCAATCTGTAGAATAAAGATTTCTTTTTTCACTCCTTTGTTAGACACGTGCGTGTTGAAAGAACCGCAATGATTTTAAAAATATCTGTTGATCCACGTCCCTCGAAATTTCCGTATTATCCCAATTTCTTTCATTTGAGAGATAAATGAGAATAATTTTCGCCGATTTTCGTCCCGACTTCTTCCTTCCGTTCTTTACGCTAAATTCTGAATCACTTTTTCCTCCGCAAGTTTACGATCAATTATTACAATCGTGCAACTCCTGTCGCAAAGTTACCCCCTCCAATCGTGCCGGCACGATGGACACAGAAAGATTTTAAGGGCGTACAAGGGCAGATATTTTCGCGTGCGTCGTCTCATCGAAAAAAAAAGGTAGAAAGAGAGAGAAGAAAAAAAGCATCAGGTATTGTTATGTACGCTGCCGAAAGTTTCATACTCTTTCAAGCATTTTTTCTTTGTACATATAATACATGTATAATCACCGATTCGCCATGGCGGTAGAATCGTAGTCTCAGGGTTGCAAGCAAGCAAACACGATACAAACGATAGGCACATTCAAATAGTTAAGCGAATTTATCTCTGTCAAACATTATAGAAATAGTAAATAAAACGATAGATTTAAACGAGGGGAAAGAATAGGTCGTTAAAATAAAAATGCGATGCGTTATGTAGAAGTTTGCGAGATTACGAAGGGCAGATAATCGTTGTGGAAACGAAAGGGAAGCAAAACGCGGTGGACGAGGATGGAACTATTATGGATTAATTACTGTAAAAGTATAATTATTGTAAGAGACATTATAGTGCGGAATAATTAGGGATTAATTAGGCTTTTATTTTTTTTGTGGTGGAGAGGCACGTCGAATTTTACAAAACTTACATTTCGTCGTGCATCTTCGAAATTTTCTGTTTTGAACACGCGTGATTTATCAAACGGTGATGTGTTATTTCATTGAGATCTAGTATTAGAGGGTGATTAAGATTACGTGTATATATATGGAAGGACGACTCAATATATATATATATTGAAGATTCTTTCGCGAGATAAAAAAATGTGATGCGAAAATGTGACTCTTTTCTTTCCCGACGTCAGGATAAGGATATGACGATTGTATAGCGCTAATAATACGTGGCTAAGTAAGTTCCTTCGACAGCAGAGATCTTGCCCTTTCGACTTTGCGATACGCGAACGCGTCTATACTAAGAGTGTATTATATACAGTTTGTGTATAAACGTATACGTGCAAGATGTATGGCAGGCGGACTGCGATTTCGAGATTTTTTTTATATTTGCAGAACGGACTGTTTGTAAGTGCAGATTTGAACGATTTCTCTTTAGGTTTTCCCTTAATTATTGTAATATAAAAATTATGCGAAATTGTTGAGCTTTTTTTAGTTTTTTGTCTTATGAGTTATCACTTTCTCTGTCTCAAGTCCGTCGATGTGATTCGCGTTTGTAAGAAGAGAGATGAGATACTGCTTCTACGATTATATAAATATGTACGTATAGTTACTTTGTAATTATGACGTGATAGATTCTATACATAATTTTTATATGTATGTATGTTGTATGTGTATGAAAGAGAGAAAAAGAGAGAGCGCTATATAATTCGGTATGTATCTGTAAAAAAAATGAGGCCGAAGAGATAATATAAATGTATCAATATTGTCGATGCAACGCAATTGCAAATAATGCGGAGTTTCATAACGCGAATAATTAGAATAGTTTGTATGAGAGAAAAAGTGAGAAAGTGAATGAGTGTACGTTAAGACGATATATCTACAACGAGATGCAGAAAATAAATCAACAAACGACACGCTGTATGAAATTATCTCGGTAATAGTGTCTTCGATCATTACTCCTTCAATCCTTCACATATGGAACAAATAATTTTTTTCTTTTTTCATAGCAATTCACTTGAAAATACAATTTTTTATTTTGCATTTTATTATGCAACAGAAATCGCCGAATTCTTTCAGATATCTCAGCATCGACAATTTTCAACATAAATTGGAAATTTAGTTAATTGTTCTCGTTGAAGCTGTAAGAAAGCTATAAAAATGTTTGTTCATTACTCTTTCAATCGTCCATATAAAACAAAAATAATTTTTTTCTTTTTTTATAGATATTTGAAAATATAATTTTTTTATTTTATTATGCAACAGAAATCGCCGAATTTTTTATCTGTCAAGAGAGCAATTTTCAACATAAATTGGAAATTAATTCTTCTTGTTGAAACTCTCTCTCTCTTTCTCTGTAAAAAAGTTATAAAATGTTACTTTGGATTTTGTTTTAGCATGATTTTTTTAACTCTGACCATAACTCTGTGTTAAAGTATTTAATATTGGAAATTTTGAAGAAATTCTCATTATAGTTTTCAATTGGAAATGCACATTTAATGCGCTAATATTGTAACCGCTACAGTGATGATTCAACGATTTTGTTTCCGGTGAGGGAAGTTCACAAATAAGCTGACCTGCCATATAACATCAGCGATTGAAAACATTCTTCTGCGTTCCTAGACGTTTATCGCGGCGCGAAGGGATCGGATGCAGCTCTCGCTTTACAAGAAGTGAGAATCGCCTTGTATTTCATGTGTTATCGTAACCGCGAGTCGCTGGTGTTTGAAAATATGCCGATCCTAACGAAACGAAGTGCTCGCATATCGTCACTCATCCGCGCGAATAGTTCGAGAAGCGGAATGTCGCGAAAAATGTTTCTGTCGTATATTTTTATTCTTTTTTGCGCAGTGTTAATTCTCAACAGTAAGTGCATGCTGTACTATTTCATGTTTCTTGAAAGGATCTTGAGCTGTTCGTCAATCTTTAGTGACATTGAATTATCGCTGTCGTGAAGCATATCAGATGATAAGACATTGTTTCGAGATTTGCATTACGAATGTGTATCACAAAAATGAAAACCGTGGAAGCTTAAAAATTAATATGTACAATTTAATAATGAAATTAATGAAAATAGATTTTTTTTAAATTTCATATTAAGTTAGAGCTTGCGTTTGTCTTTTCTTTGTATTATTCTTCAAATACTCAATTATAACAACAATTAAATTATATTTTTAAAATCTCTATGAATTTCTGAAAATGATAATTCTTTATTAGACCTATTGATTAAGCCCACTTTAAACTATCCATAATTTGCATTATATTATATTATAAGTATTGTTTGTGTACTTTAATCTTTCAAACATTCTTTATATTGTAGAGCATATAAAATTATAAATAGGCCGGTATTTATAATTCGTTCTTATTTCATGATCACCTTAATTAATAATGTAATGTTTTAAGATATTAATATGAGTATTAAAATATTTTAAGGCTGTACTTAGACGGTTTTAAATTAAGTACTATAAATACTA